GATCTTATGAATTTCTTCAGGATCTGTAGTGATTTCACCCCTTTCATTTCTTATTGCATGTATTTCAGTTTTTTCTTTCCTTTTTTTTTGATAAGGTTGGCTAGGGGTTTATCTATTTTATTTATTCTTTCAAAGAACCAACTCTTTGATTCATTAATTCTTTGTATTGTTGTTGTTGTTTTTTTTTGTTTTTCTCCGGTACCGGGAACCGAACTCACAACCTTGCGCTTGCCAGGCAGGCACTTTGCCACTGAGCTAAATCCCCAGCCCTCTTTGTATTTTTTTTAGTCTGCATTGCATTTAGTTCTACTCTGAAATTTATAATTTCCTGCCTGCTTTGGGCTCTGGGTTTGACTTGCTCTTCTTTTTCTGGGAACTTGAGGTGCAGCATAAGATTGTTTATTTGTGCCTGTTCTGTTTTCCTGAGGTGAGAGTTCACTGCTATCAATTTCCCTCTGTGGACTGCTTTCATTGCATCCCACGGGTTCCTGTAGATTGTATGTACATTTTTGTTTGCTTGTAAATAGTGTTTTATCTCTACTTTGATTTCATCTGTGACCCATTGGTTGTTCAGGGGGATGTTATTTAATTTCCAGCTGTTTATGGAGTTTCTCTGTTTTCTTTTGTCATTAATTTCCAATTTCATTGCACTATGATCTGATAGTATCATGGGATAATTTCAATTCCTTTGCATTTACTTCAACATGTTCTATGTACTAGTATATAGTCTATTTTAGAGAATGTCCCATGTGCAGCTGAGAAGAATGTGTATTCTGATGCTGTTGGGTGGAACACTCTGTAAAGGTCTACTAAGTCCATATGTTCACACATTTCATTAAGTTCTGTTATTTCTTTCCCAATTTTTTGTCTAGTTGGTCTATCTCTTTGTGACAATGGTGTGTTAAAGTCCCCTGTTATGACTGTGTTGCTACTTATTTCATTTTTCATGTCTGTTTTAATTTGTCTTATATAGGTGGGTGCTCCTGTATTTGGTGCATAGATGTTTACAGTTGTTATCTCCTCCTCTTGAAGCTTCCCCCTCACAAGTATGTAATGACCTTCTTTCTCTCTTTTGATTGTTCTTGGTTTGAAGTTCATGTTGTCTGCAAATAGAATAGCTACACCCTCTTTTTTCTAGGTTCCTGTCACATGGAGTATTGTGTTCTATCCTTTAATTTTCAGTCTATGAATTTCCTTTTGAGTTAAATGTGTTTCTTGTATACAGCACATAGTTGGGTTTTGTTTCCTAATCCACTCTGCTAGTCTGCTTCTTTTGGTTGGCGCATTGAGACCATTCACATTGATGATTATAATGGATATGTACTGGCTTATCTTTGTCATACTATTTTCATGCTGTTGGATCCTCCTTTTCCGTCTGTTTAACTGTTTGCTCTGCTTGGTAGTTCCTTTCTGTTGTTGTTCTTGAAGTTGTGGTCTGTTTTATCTCTTTCTAGTATATCTTTTAGTACTTTTTGTAGGATTGGTTTGGTGCTCATGAATTGCTTCAGTTGTTCTTTATCATGAAAATATTTTATTTCTCCATTAAATTTGAAAGATAGCTTTGTAGGATACATCAATCTGGGTTGGAAGTTGTTTTCTTTCAGTACCTGAAGTACTTCGCTCCAAGCTCTTCTTGCCTTGATGGTTTGTGTTGAGAAGTCTGCCATGATTCTGATAGGCTTTCCTTTATAGGTGATCTGTTTCTTTTCTCTAACAGCTTTT